AGAAGAATATAAACTCTCAGTGAACACTATTCAGAAAAGATTATCTTGCTAATCTTTTAACATGAAGTATATGGGGAGCCGTGCTGCTTGTGGTGCATCACAAGAGTGCTTGCAGCTATCTCTAATTGATGAAAGAATGCCCTCTTAATCAGATTTCCTACACTTTGTCTGGCATCCCAGGTAGTCTTATTATTCAGAATGAGAAGGGCATTCTGAGTAAAAGACACTGAATAGTTAAGATGGGTATTTGTCCCTAGATATTTGTATTTAAAAAAATTAATACATTCTTCCTATGGGAAATGTGGGAGGAAAAGAGGAAGTGCTCTCTATCTTATTCAGCAGCATCCAGATGCAGCTGGAAGAGATTAACTTCCACACACAGCATTTTTTGTGTCTATGTGCAGTAGAAACTTAATTACAACTAAAATATGCAAAAGCGAATAGCTATTATGAAGATGGCAGCAGCATTTTCCACAAGACCGAAGACAAGCCAGAAAAAAAACCCCAGCCATGTAGTCTCAAGCAAATCATATAGGTTTGGTTGGTTTGGGGATTTTTTTGGTTTTCCTGTCTTTCTAAATTTTTAACTCTTCAGGCTTCTTGGCAACAGAGCCCTCCTGGGCTTTTTGGTTGTTCCCCTCCCCCATCCCATCCTGTTTATTTCTGTGACCCGAAATGGCATCTTTCTTTAAGAAAAATACCCAAGGATGTCAGAGAAAATGGATATATATTTCAATTTGCCCACTTTAATTCAGTTAGTTTAACGAAAATGCAGGTGAGTATCTTCCAACTATGCTAACAGGCTATTCTGATTTAAATTTTAATACTATAAGTAAGCTCTAAGCTACAACCAGGCAACAAAGAAGCACAAAGGTGTAAACTGCTGTTAGTACACATTTTTCCTCTTAGTTCTTACAAATTATTCTGTAGAAACTTGTATTACCTAGCTCATGTGTTTAAATAACAAGATTATGTGATTAAATTGATTAGTCAGTCATCATGTCTGATCATTGCCTGTGATGACAATTACATATAAGGATCACCCTTCCTCAGTGTCTCAAACTTGTAACATATCTCCACATATAGCACTTAATAACTTATTAAAAATATTTCCTCCCTGGACATAATAAAACAAAATCTATGATAAAATGCTACTTATGCTGATAATGCTGCTTTTTAAATTATTATTATTTCCTCCTTACCCTCAAAATTAGGGGCTCATCAATGTTTAACTGATAAAAATGTCAGTAATTTGTGGAACTCACTATTTCAGTACATACATCTGTTCCTATAAAGCTACTTTGTGTTTTGCAAGTAGCATCCTAGTATCGTTATAAATACATCTGCAGAGAGGCATAAATAGCTTTTCTTGTTTCTGTGACTAAAGCCAGAGTAAATTTTAAATTTGTAACTTCCCCCTACACATCCCTTTAGACGTAGAATATAATAAACTTGTATTTGTACATTAAGTTACAAGAGACACGCTTTGCCTTGGCATCTGACTGAAACCCAAATTTTTAGAACAGGCTTATTTCTGACCTGGAATGATCTCTGACATGTATGGGGAGGGAAGGCCCATCTATACGTGAAACTTCTGGTATTTCAGGAAGATGCTAATGTAACTGCTTGCATTGCTTCCTAAACAACCAGACTCCAAACAGCTTTTCCTGCAGGCCCTGTGTTCCGCAGGCACTTGTTCAGGGCCGGCCATGCCCTCCGCACAGCTCGGTGCTCTGCAGCTGCTGAAGTCCCTTGATAAGCATGGCACTATGTGAGTCCTCCACCTGCCCAACACAGAGAGATGTGCCTCTGCACAACACTTGCATACCCTAACTCTTCCCATAAAAGAGTTGTTCATGTGGCTTAAGCCTTAGCTGCATGTTGAAATGAGACAGGTCTGCCTTCTGTTTGTTTAAAAGTACCTGCATGTATAATCTTTTATTTTCCTTCTTCCTGCAGGTGTTCCTTTTGATCCAGAGTGAGAAGATAAAGAATGATTTTGTTTACCTTAGCTGGCTAGCTCGCTGCTGTGAGTCACTTTACCCTCAACATTGCAGAATAGAGTGCCTCTTCTATTGCATCAGTCTTGGCAATCCACTTTCTTAATTGAATTGTAGTTGGATTCAGGACTGCGAAAGTGAAAAGCTGATTGCGTGAGTTATAGCGTGGGTGATTTTTGCACCTTTCATACATCTGGCTTTAGTGAACAATTACTGCTTCAGTTCAGTGCTGTTACAATTCTGTCAAAGCAGCTGTGTCCTAACCAGTGAACCCTTTTCTTCTCAATTACCTACTCAATTGCTTGAGTGAAGATTTTCTGTCTTAAAGACTGAGTTACAGCTCTGAAACGTTCAGAGTAAGACATAAAATAGAAGCATCTGCACTGGGTGAGGCACAAGGGCCTAACTCCAAGAGCAGTCAATGTCAGATGTCTAGGGAAGAGAAGAATCAGGCAAGCGTGCGTGGTATTTTTCTTAATACCACGTTACTTTTCTTGTTGTCCAAATTCCTGTCCCTCTGTGATAGCCTCTGTAATTTCCATCATGTGTTTTCTTTCAGAAACTTTTCCATTCTTCCCTTGAAACCAGAAATTTTTTTTCTGTATTTAATATCCTATAACAAATTCTATTTAGTATTTCCAAGTCTGTTTTTAAAACATTGCAGAATATATCTCTGTACAGGTGCAGCTGCAGTGCCACATGCCAAGTAGTACAAAGGTGGGATTTTCTGATGACTCAGCTCTGAAACTCCCTAGGCTAATCTCTTTTCCTTACAGTGCCTCCGTACAAAAATGTTTTCGTCATACAATTTTCAGTAGTTGTACTTGGAATGTAAATATATTTGTTTTGGGACATTATGCCATATTGCAGATGTGGTCAACATCTCTAATGTGATCTGTTCAGGCAGATGTGACACACCTATGGGTGTATATCTATGACTCTTTTAGGACATGCCACTTTATTTCCTTTTTCAATAAGCTGTGGCACTTGGTTGTGTTTGAGTGTTTTACATATGAATGTTTTATGTGGGTTTTTTTGATGGGAGAACTCCCATTGCAAAGAGTTTATTCAGTAGACAGTGTTCATTGCTTTGATTCTGTGCTGTAGTAGTTCTTTGACATACATCTGGGGATGTAGAAATCTCTGAAGGTGCCCTTATTATACAGGAAGTATAATCAACGCCGCGTTATCAATTGGAAACTTTCTAGCTCTTTTATGAGGGCTACGTATTCTTCTGTGTCTGTCTTAAAATTTTGATTTTTCATTCCCAAACTGCTGCTAGAATTCTTTGCAGAAATGACAGTTCAGTGATGAGTATAGTTATATTTCTGTGTCAAGTATGTAAATTATTTTTAGATTCTTCTGGATAAAAGCTCCTGAAGAAATCAGAAAGCATTATAACACATTCATGTCAGAGTATGATTAGGTATTGAGTAATAAAGAATTAAATGCTGAAATACTTCCAAAGGGCAAAAAGTACCAGAAATGCATCTTTTTGGATGCTACAGTTTTGTTTTGGTTTTTTGTTTCATATTATTTTACTATTTATACCAAATTCTTCTTGAAGAGAAAGTTAAAAAACATTGAATTAGCACAATACTCCATTTCTCTAGATAGATGGGTCGATATTTAGAAATTAAGACCTGGCTGCCACTCTGTAAGGTATCTGGAGCTGATAAAAGAAAAGTTGATCTGATGTCTTGCTGCCTCCTAAATGGGCAGTGTATGGACACTCTTCTGTTATTCTGCTATTTGGTATTACATATTTACTGTTGGAATTACCACCTCTTCTACTTGCAACATATGTATCGGCACAGTGGGCACAGATATAATAAACTAAACAGCTCCTCTTTCAAAAAAGCACAAGAGTGCACCGTGTGTGAACAGCCAGCTGCTCCGTGAGTTGCTGGTGAGACTTCAAAAAGAAAGGAATACCTGCTTTCATTTTCTTTTCTCCCAGTACTTGAAATGAGTCTGGAATTACCAATATCAACCTCAGATTCAACGGAATGGGTTCTTATCTCCAGAAAATACAATCTCAGAATGATTTGTGTTCAAACACCCCAGTGGAATTTCCACTAGCTGAGATGGAAGATTCAGATTATTTTCCTTCTAATTGTGTATAACGATGAAGTTTAAAGTTAAAGGCCAATTAAAATTTCTAGTCACACAGGCAGATTTCAAACCAGCACAAAATCTCAGACATTTGGAAACCTTTTTTCTAATAGATGCATAATGACAAGTTTTGTTATGCTTTGGAGGGGCTTCATGTCCCGTCCCCCCTTCTTGGTTTGCTGTGATTCATGGGAGCTGAATGTTTAGATTGAGGTGGGCACCAAAGTATTAAAGGGTTCAGTTCAGTGCTAAATAATTTTTATCTCACCATCTAAATGGATTGCCATGTTTCATTGTCCTGCATAAAATAACTTCTCTAATGCTTTCCATTCTGATCCTTAATCACATCTGAAATCATGAGAGTTGTGCTTATTGCTGTATCTGTGAAATATAAATTGAGATGTAAATGCTATAATTACTGCTTTTGACGTTGGTATTCTCTGAACTGCTGTTATCACTAGTAACACAGAAGGACGAGTTTTCCTTTCCCAACTTCATGCTTACAGAGTGAGGCATGCATTTACATTAAACAAAGAATTTTAGGAACATTTCCACCTGCCACTGAGTATTTTGCATGTCATATTTTTTTCACAGTTCCAGCTTTTTGTTGTTATTACAGATATTAAGAATAAGAAACCGCAGATGGCCTGGAATCTCTATCTGAAGATGGAGACCTCAGCTGAGTCCTTTAGCCTTTTGCAGCTCATTGCAAATGATTGCTACAAGGTGAGTCTTCTCTTCAGAACTTGGTATATGGTGTGTTAATTCAGTGGCTTTACCAACAGACCTTTTTTTTACACTTTCCATAATTGTAATCAATAGTGAACTTTCTTTTATAACAGTGGGATGTCTAATAACGTAAATAAGTTGGCAAGGATTAATCAGTATTTTAACCTGTAGGCCTTCTTGGTAGACAACCCACTGATTAAAGCTTTGGTAAATTACTGCATGCTTGAGCTATCAAGTATAACAGTTTCTTCTACTAGGGATTCATTGTTCATAAAAATTGCCAGAAACTTTTAAGAAAAAAAAATCTAGCATAGATTCAGCAAGGAGCCTCATGCTACATTTTTTTCTAGGACAATGTTTTTTTTTCCTTAAAGCTTGTAATGACAATGGGAGATACTCCTTTGTTGATAATTAGGAAGTGGAAAGAGAATAACCCTACAACTACTATTCTGTCTGTCCAAGTAGAGCAAATAGACACAGTGTGTGTGTAATCATCAGGAAGCAAACTACTCAGAAAAAAAATGGTGAGCTTAACTGCCTGCTGTATCAGGATCCCTGCTAACACAAAATAGTTCTTCTTTTGAACCTTTCTAGAGGGGACTTTCAATCAGATGAGGTTAGACTAAGACATCAAACATTTTTAAAAGTCAAGCCAGACAAGACTTTGTCCACTTTATGAGACTTAGCTCTGATTCAGGTTTTCTTGCTGTTCTGCAAAGCATGGAAAAAAAACATGGCAGTTTCATCTGCAGGATGAGCATAGAGGCATACAGAAAAAACTTATTTGAGAGGCTTGTAAATTGCACTTGAGAAAGGAAAAAAATATTGTCCTATGTAAAGAGTACTGCTGTGCAAGATTTCAAAAGACAATAATAGAATGCTGTGCCTAGCATCCTCTCTGCCATCTACAAGGATGATTGCAGTCTTTTGGGACATAGAGGACCAGCAGCTCAGTGTAGGAAGAAAAGGATGTTCTTTGGAAAAGTGTAATGGTGAGACACGTTTTCAGAGTGTATTGGCCAGACCTTATATCAGAAGGTGGACTGAAGTTATTTGGGGAGCAACTGTTTTGGATTTAATTTAAATTAAATCTAAATTTAAAATTAAAATTTTCTGATTGTGCAAATATAGTAGTTCACTGTTTTAAGAAGTCAGATGTGAGAAGAAGAGCAGAACACAGATATAATAAAGCTCCTGGATCTGGTTCAGTAGAGCCTAACACAAGTGAATATACAAAAACTAGCAGCTATTAGCACAGGCTTATTAGAGATACAGTGACCAAACTTGCCATGATAAATGAAAGATACTAAATCTATTTTCCTGCTTTTCTTCATGTGACAAAGTGACATGTTCTCAAAGTCCTAACGAACACATAACTGAAAGTCAGAAAATCTACCTTGTGATCTCAAAAACATTCTTCTAAAACTGAGCAAATGATCTCTTATACATCTTTTAATTATTCCATCCACCATCTCACTCCACAAGTCTAGATGTTCAAGCAAGTGATTGTGCCTCTGGTGTTTCCTGTAGCTGTCATTTTTGAAAGCAAGTTGACAATCAGACCTTACGTAAAATCTCTCTCTGGACCATTTTAAGTCTCACTTAAATCAGTTTAGTACTTTGTCTAAATTATTCTCAAAGCCTTAATGTACTCTAGAGGAGAAGCAGCTCCATGGTTTAGATTTATCTAGAGCTCTTAAAAATGCACTTACAGGACTAAATTTTTCAGCCTAATTATGTGTCTATATATGGTCATAAATGACTGCTCCAAAGACCAAGGAATTTAATTTCAAGAATGATTGCTGTAGTGTTATAATTAATCTTTCTACTCTACCAGCTGTTTGCACGCCTTCCACTAAATGGCAAAGCCCATGTTGTTTGAGTTTATGTAGCATTCTCCAGTTGTTTCTGAAACATTAGTTTATATGAGTGGTCCACAGACAGCACCAGAGCTGTGACTTAATAAGGCAGTTGCACTAGGCTGCACTCAACAGAACGCTGAATGAACATGGATGGAGCAAGGTCAACAGTGTCCTGGGACTAGGATGCTGGATGCCCTGTTGCTATGCTGAGAGAAGTTGTTCCATGAGGGAGCTGGGATGCAGGACTTCTGGCTAATACTGCTTCTCATGCAGTAGCCCATCTTATCCACTTAAGGAACAGCAGATGACTTGGGGTGAAACATTTCCTGCTTTTATGTCAACTAGGAGGAGGACATAAACTGGTATCTGCTTAATGGAACTAGATCAGATGCAGGTTTGGAGAGATCAATATTCATCTTCTTCTTTTTAGCTGACACATCTGTGACTGTTTATATTCACTGTCTTTATTCCCATCCATTTTAGTGCTTGCCAGTCACCTGTGGTTAAAATCTTCATGTACATGAAGAAAAGTACATTACTATTCATTCTGCATACCCATGTTTCTCTGACTAAAGTATCCAAACGTAACTCCCACAGCCTGTCCTGTTTTCTCAGCAGATGCAGGCTTCCAGCCACCAAAGGATGGGAAGTTGTACTTAGTGTGCCTTCTGTGCCCTCACATGGGAATATGCCAGCCACAAACAGCATTGCTAGTCAGGCTTGCCCAAGTGAAGAACACTCAGTCACAGATAAGGCCCACATGAGCTACACTGTCTTCAAAAGCCACAGTTACTCTGGTCACTCCTTTCACACTGACTGTTGCCAACCAATTTGCCTCTTGTTCCCAAGTAGAGAACCTAAGACAGAAAAGACAGGGTACACAGTGGATTTTCCTATGCTTGGGAAAATTTTAGATTATTGAGTCACTGAATCTTATTTTGTACTGTATGCTAACAGTGAAGAAAAAAATCTAGCTCTAAATTAAACCCAGAAGACATGCAAATATTTGTCTGTGACCATCTCTACATGACAAAAAGCAGTGCAGTTTTCAAGTGTTTGAACTAGTTTGAAGTTGATATTCTATCAAGGACTTTGGTCTAGTTGGTATGACACCTCATTAAAAAAAATGTTCTGCAACCCAGTGTTATCTGTGTGTGATCAAAACAACAGTGTTGATCATTGCCAACTAATAAGTTTACAGTGCAGTTTGACTACAATATGTTCAAAGACATAGACCAGTGATGTTATAATGCCACCTGTTTCCCTGAGAAGAACTCAAATGTGCCTATTCTGTGTCACTTGTTTATTGCCTGCAGAAAAACAGGAAAATGAACATTGCTTCCATGACTTACTGCTGATTTAGGGAAATGGAGCTCAAAATTTTTAATCCTCTTCTGAAAGAGAGTCATATAGTCAGGAATAATGTTTCACTCTCTGTGCAGATGCGTCAGTTTTACTATGCAGCCAAAGCGTTTGATATGCTGGAGAAACTGGACTGTAATCCTGAACACTGGGAAGGCAAGAGAGGTGCCTGTGTGGGTATCTTTCAAATGATCTTACTTGGCCAAGAAGCAAAGTGAGTATGCTGTGTTCTGTCTGAAATTATTTTGCCCTTTTCCTGTTTCCAGTTAGCTGTAAACCAGACTCATAATCTTAGCTTTAGGCCTGTGGATCCTCTTCCAATTCTTTCTTGACCTTTCAGAGAATAGACACTCTGGCTAGTGGCTCCATATGCAAGTGTGTCATCCACACCAACAGATACAGAATATTTGGTGGAGAATAACTTATCAGTGAATGCTATGATCTATAAGAAACCACAGTGCACTAGCCATTATACTAGGAAGATGTATGTTACAAATGCAGTTATGTTCATGAGCTGAGGAAAAAGAACCTCATTTCATGTTGATGGTGTAAGAATGGAAAACTGCCCCATGAGATTTCAAGGTTCAGAGAACAAAGCTAGGGGAACAGTTAATCAGTGATGTAGGAAGGACATGATTTCTTTAAACAATTAGTAGAGGAGACTGTATTTTCAATAAAATTTGCTTCCTGAAGACACAGTATCAGACAAATAAACTTATTTGATGAAAGCTTAAAGGAAATTCTCAGCGTTACTGATAATTTTGCTTTTGGCCCATTTCACTGGATGGGAGAATGAGAGAGAGAAATGAGGCTGTATTTAAGAACTGTTCCTTCATTAATATTTGCTGTGATCCCCTGGCCAAAGTTGCTGGTTCATACATGGCTGGTAGGTGTGTATCTTGGCTTCTATGCCTTCCTTGTATTTGCTTCTCAGCTCAAATAATCTCATTAACTAGTGCACCCTTCCAGTGTCCTTTTAGCAATTACTGCAGAAGATGCAGTAAAATAGGCAGTTTGCCTGTTTTTCAGTATGGATACAAGTTCTTGCTGTAAAGTAGCTGGCAAACTGCAGCTTCATACTGGTTTATTCTATTAGTAGTGCTCATTTCCATATTACTAATATTGCATCTTGCCATACTGAAGAGTAGTAACATTAAAGAAAATAAAAAAGGAACTATTTTGCAAGAGTAAAGATTTATATATAAATAGACATATGTGTACACTAAACTCCAAACTAATTTCATTATGCTGATTTTATTTTTTTTTTCCAACTTCTTATTTCTCTGCTTATTGCAATTGTATACAAGACCTTTTCTGGGGGTGGGGTTGGGCCGTAATCTACTGTACATTTTTACCTATTCCTGCCCTGTAGAGCAATGGACCTCTCTGTCTAGGAGAGGTTTTGTTTTGCAAAGTAGTTTGGATGTGCGTAGTTGTTTGTTGTATCAGTTGAGTCTCACCTTCATTTAAATCCTTGCTTTTCACCTTTGCAGAGAGACCCTGCGGGAAGTAGTGCATCTTCTGAAGAGTACTGGTAATTCTCAAGTAGAGTACATTGTCCGTATTATGAAAAAGTGGGCCAAGGAGAACAGAGTCACAGTCTAACTCAGTGCTATGAAATGAGCTGGGTCAGTTACCACTGTGTGTGGCTGTGAGGTGCAGGTCTTGATTTCTCCTGTGCATTCTGGGTATCTCCTTCCTTACAGGACTATAGACTATCAAGCAGGTTGGCCCAGCTGAGTAACTGCGTAGTGTAGTGAGATTGGAGGACATCCAGCAAGCATTTTTTTTTTTTCATTCAAGATTTATTGGTACTTTGTGTTGCACCACTCTCTTCCTCATTCAAAGTTTATAATTTTTTCAGTGGTAATTCTACTGTCCATAAGTCAAAGTGCTCCTCAGATATTCCCCAGATTTCTCAACATAAGTTACTGGTGTGCCTTGTGGAGTTGATTTTTTCCAGCAAGTTTTCTGGCCTCTGGAGAAGAATTATTTTCTAAATAGCAGTCTTATCTACTTCAGCAATAGGTGGAATATGGCAAGTAGAGAGGATGATGGTGACACCCAAAAGCCAGTACTAGGAGTATCATATAATACATAACTTCCATGTGTTACCTGTCTGGGGTAAAATACAAACTGTTCTGAGCATAGTCCTTTTCTTGATAAATTTCAATAACTAAAACCTTCATCTCTTATTTTTGTCTGTAAGGATTGTTTTCTCTCTTACCAGTAATTCTGAAGATGAGGGTTAATCAACCCAAAATGCTAAGCTTCAGTGTGGCTTATTTGCTTTCTAGGTTGGTAGCAAAGCACAATGATACCGTCTTTTTCAGAGCATGGACATTTGACCAGCTGTATTGTTCAATCTTGCTTTAAGGTCTGACACTCAAAACATTTATTTATGTTAATATACTTCATGTGAGTAATCCATTTAGTTTAGCAATCTGATGGATAAAAGAACTGGATGTTTTAACTAATCTTCTTCAACATTTACCACCCTAGTTAGCTATATATTTATTATACTTCTGAATTTATTATACTCTTCTGTTTTCTAAGGAGAACAGTTCAGGGAATACAAAATTGTAATAGAAGTCAACAGTTGTAACATAGAAATGTATTGGGGTTTGCTGCAAAAAGCAGTTCTTTGTTATTTGTAAAGGGAAAATCTACAATTTGTAAATTTGTAAAATACTTAGGAAGTATTTTTGTATCTTTTTGGGGAAAACTCAGAATACTGTGTTGGATAATGTCTATGTTTTGATTAAAGCTCTTAATTGAACCTACAGTTTAATGGCTTGTTGATCTGTGTTGCTTCATACTGAAGTTGTTAGTACAATCATTTTGCTCTGGAAGAGGGCAGATTTGTGACTGGTTGTTAAATGTATGTTCAATAATCAGTCAAAGGCAAGTCAGTGGCCTTGGTCCTGATTTTTATCATGGTTTGATGCTGAAAATAAGGTGACTGGTTGTGTAAGGAACATAGACACCTTTCTGCCGTATAGTATATCAGTATTTTTACTGCTTTAAGCAATAACTGTGCTATTATCATTCGGGTATCTAGAAGTACATTGATAGTTGTGGCTACTTGCATTACATATATTTACCTCTAGAAAACTGATGCACCATACTAGCAACAGTAATAGAGCCTATTCAGCATTTTAATTAATGTGGAAACAGATTGGAAATACAATTATGAGTCTTGGTACAAAGTTTAAAAAAATCATTTTGGTGGCTTTGTAGCAGATGTTAAATGAATCTAATTACTCCTTTACTGAAGCTTAACCTGCAGGAGAGCTGAGGAGCATCCAAGTCCATTGCAGACCATTTTACACATTGGTCGAATCTTCTGAAAGATTCTGACATTGCAGCACAAGGGCTTGGGGACTTATTTAAAATTCCTTGTCCGTTACTACTAAAGAAGTTCTTGAAAACTTCTCCTTTATTCACTGTAGTCACAAAGTCATATTTGATATGCTAAATAGTAAGTTTCCTAGCACAGTGCATTTTACTGCCTGGTAATTATCCTTTTGTTATTTAAGACATAAAGGAATGGGGGACTGCAGGACTTTGTCTTGACCAGTGATGAAATAAAATACATATTACATATGGTCCTAACATTTAGGGTCTTAGTAACAGAACGGATATGTAGGTACTACTAAAATGCAGAACAAGAAAAGTGCTGAAATATTTAAGTTTATTTTACCTTAGAAATATGTTCCAAGAACATCTTCCATTGTTTAATCTGAGATCATATTCAAAGAACAGAAGTTGCCTCAGCTGCTACAGAGAGGAAAAGATAATAAGGAATTTCTAAAGTTCTTCCTTACGTAGAGTTAACAAAATTTGTTCCCTATGCATTTCCATATATCCCTGAACTTAGGGAGTCAAGGTACTCTAAATAGGACAGCTAGAAGTGAAGGCAGATGTGGAGAAAAACAACAAAAATTACCTCTACAGAACAAACAGGCAGTGAAGAATGAATGTACAGAGTCAGGGAAACAGGTACATTTATTGGGTCAAGAGTAAGTGAATATAAGATTGAAACAGCGGCATTTTAGATAATGTAGTGGGAGAGACTAAGGCAGAAAGAAATTGCTGCATCATTGGAATTTCAAGGAAGAGTATGGAAAATAGAGAAACACTCTGAATAAGCATCTGATCTGGAAAACAGGATATAGAGAATGCACAGAAGGTACTGTGCTAACAGTCTTCCAATTAGTAGTGGCCAGTAGAGAAAGCCAAACCAGAATCAGTGCTGAACTGCTTTTAGTTGGGTGCTAACTCATTCCTGATAAATAAGGAAGATGACCTTTAATTAAACTTGCTAATACCCAAACAATTTTGACAATGACACACTCTGGTAAAAAGTCCCTCCCCAGCTTTTCTGTAGCCCCTTCAGGTACTGGAAGGCTGCTGTAAGGTCTCCTCGGAGCCTTCTCTTCTCCAGGCCGAACAACCCCAACTCTCTCAGCTTATCTTCGTAGGAGAGGTGCTCCAGCCCTTGGATCATCTTTGTGGACCTTCTCTGGACTTGCTCCAAGACTTGCTATGGCCTTCCTGTGTTGGGGGCTCCAGAACTGGACACAGCACTCCAGGTGGGGTCTCTCGAGTATGGAGTAGAGGGGCAGGATCAGCCCCCTCAACCCGCTGGCCACGCTTCTTTTGATGCAGACTAGGACACGGTTGGTTTTCTGGGCTGCAAGTGCATGTGGCTGGCTCACGTTGAGCTTTTCATCAACAAACACCACCAGGTTAGTCTCCTCAAGGCTGTTCTCAACTCATTCACTGGCCAACCTATATTTGTGCCTGGGGTTGCCCTAGGCTCAGGACCTTGTATTTGGCCTTGTTGAATTTCACGAGGTTGGCACTGGACCACCTCTCAAGCCTGTCAAGTCCGTCTAAATGGCATCCCTTCACTCCAGCGTGTCAACCACTTCACACAGTTTGGTGTCATCAGCAAACTTGCTGAGGGTGCACTTGATCCCACTGTCTGTTGCTGTCAAAGATGTTAAACAGCACCAGTCCCAATACAGACACCTGAGCAATGCCACTTATCACTGGTCTCCACCTGGACATCAAGCTGTTGATCACTACTCTCTGAGTGTGACCATCCAGCCAATTCCTTATCCACCAAGTGGTTCATCCATCAAATCCATATCCTTCCAGTTTTGAGACCAGGATGTCATGCGGGACAGTGTCAAATGCTTTGCACAAGTCCAGGTGGATGACATCAATTGCTCTTCTCTTGTACACCAATGCTGTGACCCCATCGTAAAAGGTCACCAAATTTGTCAGGCATGATTTGCCCTTGCTGAAGGCAATCTTTGTGTTAAATCCAGTATTTTGGCTTTCCATTAAAGTATTTGCCAGATAAACTTCAAAGTTTTGATTTGAAGGTGAATCATGAAAAATCCATAGCTTTACTTTGCAGTTTGTTCAAATGGTTAAATTGCCTTTGGTCTTTTAGCAATTGTACCTTCATTTTGAAATCAGCATGTTTGGCCTTGTTTTCTAATATTTTTTTTCTTCCAGTATTAATCTTCATTAGTCATTAAAGCAAGCATTCTTTGTTTTGGTGGGTTTTGTTGTTGTTGTTGTTGTTGTTTTTTCATCTTTAGATACACATAAACTGCAAATAAGTCACTGCTGTCTGTACTGGAGACAGCATCCCTTGTAAGGGTATTTTCCAGGCTGGAAAACTGGCAATCAGTATGTTAACAGATTTATTTATTTTTGAATGTAGTCATGAAGAACATAATTTATCCCTGTATGTGACACTGAAATATGCTCTTCCATACTGCTGCTTGCAAGTCTTCTACATGTGTACTTAATGACTGCAGTCACCCTTTTTTCCTTATTATCAGTGGAGGAGCTTGCAATAAATTGCTTCTCAAATGTGACATGAGAACTAGGGTTTTCCAGAACTGGTATTTTCCATGATACCCTTTGTAAGAGACAGCCTACTGTTAGCTCTACAAAACCATCTTTTTTTCCAATGGGTTCCATTTTCCAGCTTATGCAGATCACTCTGTATGACTATCTTATCCTCACTAATTACTAGTCTGGGTCTCTGCAGCCTTTTATTAGTGCTGTTTCCCATCTGCACCTGGATCATCAATCCATGTGTTGTATCCTCTGTCCTTCCAGGGCCCTATATAAGTAAACCCCAAAATATTCTATTAATGATGGCATATGGCTACTTCTCATTATTTGTCATTCTCAGCTTATTTAACAAGTACCTTACAGATACTGTGTTACACTATTCCTTTAAATTAGATATGTGACATGAGAAATGTATGTGTTGCATTTGTATAACTGCAATACTACTGTATTCAGCTAAACTTTTAAGAAATCCTTGTCCTAGGAGTTAATACTTCCCTTTAATTCTATATTAGATGAATCTTACAGCATCCCAGAAAGACTGGAGTCCAGTTGTTCATGGCTGCTTGCAGAATTTGAAACAACTCTTTTTTTGCCCTGTAATCACACTTAGAAGGCACACAACAAAAACTTACTTTAGATTTTCCAGAGTTTAAACTTTTGTCTAGAACAAATAAAGGAGGCAGCTCACCATCTCTGAGCAAGGGACATTTCCTGAATTCCTT